CAGCGTTTCTTTTTTGTTTGCAGCGTTTCTTTTCTGTTTCCATGATTTCTTTTTTGTTTTCAGCGTTTCTTTTTTGTTTGCAGCATTTCTTTTTCTTTGCAGTGTGTCCCTTGTGGGCCATCGTAATCTTTGCATCCACAATAGGCGCTAAATTGAGCATTTATCACGATCCAACCAAAAAAATACTAGAAATACAAGATAGCCTTCTCGGTAGTGGCTATCGGCACTGCCGCAGTGCCGATTTGGCTGCCGTTTTCTATCGGCACTGCCGCAGTGCGAAAACGTTGCTTTTTTCTATCGGCACTGGCACAGTGCGAAAAGTTGCTGTTAATTAATCGAATCGATGTTTTTATCGATAGATGACATTGGTATAACTCATAATTCATAATTTTATTTCACTCAAAACGTAATGAGACTGGTAGGTAAAAAAGGGAACATGTCTGTACAATAATAATAATAATAATAATAATAATAATAATAATAATAATAATAATAATACAGATAATAAGAATAAATAAATAAAAATAAAAGAGTAATAATAATGATAATAATAAAAATTATGAATGAAGATCAAAATATAACATTGAAGTGAATTCAAGTTAGATATTAAAACAAGATGGAGGACTGGACTGTGATGATGTTCTAAATATTTGGCTTTATTATATAAATAATTGATTAGGTCTAGCTTAGCCTATATTATTGTCAACATTATATTATATTTGTTTTACAATTAGTAATTTAAATAATTATTTCTAATTAAATTATTAAATATACATTATATATTATATATTATATAGGCCTATGCATATACATAAAACAAAAAATAAACAAACAATAATAATAATAATAATAATAATAATAATAATAATAATAATAATAATAATAATTTTACGATATTTTGAATAATGAGATAATAATGATCAGCATATAAAATAAAATTAAGTCCATGCAAAACGCGATTTTAAATAAAAATGTTACCTATTTGATTATGTTTTAAAAAATAATCCTATAAATTATATCCATATATGCTAATTCATGTTTTTAATGTTAATATGGTTGATAAATAATATATAAAATAATAATAATAATATTAATAATAATAATAATAATAATAATAATAATAATAATAATAATAATGAAGGTGCTCGAATAATGTTTTATATAAAAATTGAATAAAGAATTAATAATACTTCAATAATACTTCATTTACGATAGTATGAGATATTTGTTGATTAATTTATAAAAATATAATAGGTAGGGCTATATACCTTTAATAATGATTCAGCATATATTAAATCTACTTACGTCGTCAATGTAAAATTTGGTTTTTTTTTCTCAATAAAATGTTACCTATTTTACGGTATTCTGTTACGGTATAATCTTATAAATTATCAGTTTCATTGTAAATTTTATGTTAACCAAATAATTTATGAAGCATTAAACAATTCAGTGGGCCTAACGCTGGATGTAAATGTAAAACAAAACAAAAGCAGATGCTAATATTATCGCGCGATTACCGCATATTTTTGGTAATCGGAGCTCAGGATGGTTCAAACGAGGTGACAAATATCCGTCGAAATGCCGTATAAATAAACTGCAATTAGGCCTATGTAAATAATTTTCACACGAATATCTTAATTAATATATCTTAACATCTTAAATAAGTTAATTACCAAATAATTAATAGATCGATATAAACATTGTGACCTATAACTACAATTTATTAATATATTTTAATTAATAAATACAAAAAAAAACGATTTTTCAGGTCAGAAATTGGCATCAAAAATGTAATATTTCAATCGCGATATTCGTATTTTTTTCGGCTCATTGAAGTAGCGACGATAAACATATATAATAATTAGTTTATAGTCACATTAATAATGCAAATTTTAATATATATATATATATATGTATATAATATATATGTATATATGTATATGTATATATG